GTCAGTTGGTTCCCGACAAATTCTTAGGATAGCAAATTTCATGGATCTCTTTCCCCTCTGTACCATCCTACAAAAATATATTTATTTCACCCATGTATAATATGTAAGAGATTATCGCAACATTTTTCATATATGATATATTTTTCAATAATACTGAAAATTGAAAAACATTTTAAAATTGAAAACGTTTACAATTTTACAAATTTTAACAAATTTTAAAACAGAAAATTCCCATCAACAATTGTCCATCTTATCTTCCAGAGTTTTTTTCTGCAGTGCTTGCAGGTGAAATAAAGTGCCCAGGATTTGTCTTGATCCCCGACAGGCATGGCCGAAATATTTAGCAGATACTTCCACGGGTACTTTTTCGCCCTTGTCTTGATAAATTTGCCGCAGACATAGCAAAATGTGTCTTCCGGATATTTGCAGCCTCACATGGAGTCATCTCAGAAAAACGCAGACATGTAGCCATTTAGGCAGCTGTAACTAAACTGAGCTGACTCGCTTAATGTCCCTGTATTTATACTACTATTTATATTACTGAAAAGTTCTACTAATTTCTAGAAGTTTCTCCAAGTGCACAGAATCTATCCAGAATGTTCTGGAAAATAAGTAAATTTCAAAATAGCACTGTCCTGGTCACAAAATCAATGTTTGTGGTGAATAATATTCGTTCAAACGTTATACAAACTTAAATTTTCTGAATAAACTAGTCTTTACGCGATGTTGCTAAAAAGCTTCATGCTGTATAAGAACAAAAACGTGTTTCATTTTATATATCCCAAGATATGAATAGACAAATGGACATAAGAGAAATGAAGAAAAAATCAAGACTGAGGTGACATACAAATTTTATAACTGATTTGTTTACAAAGCAATGGCGTGTTCTGTCAAACTCATGAACGGTTCCAGCCACCACCGGGTGTTCCATCCTGCACGATAGCTTTAAAACTTCACGATATTCGTGTATCCGCCCATGTTTGTGATATGGTTCTCTATATTATTTATATAAAATGTGCGCCTATATTAGCACTAATTTGTTTGAGAGACTAGTAGGAACCATTAATGTTAAAAGTTCCATAATGTTTGGAGGTCCTCACTAAATATTCCTTTCGACAGTAGTTTAACGCAGTTCATTTAACTTGATCTAAAACGCCACTCAGTTGTTTAATATTACTGTGTTAGTTCCGTGTAGTAAAGTACAGCAACATAAGTCTGGTTAGTTAGTGTTTTGACTGCCGTAACTGTGCCCCAGTCAGCTCCATAGCAACAGTAGGTTCCGTTTGTGAATACATTTTTTTTTTGTTGGATGATATTCCAGGGTCGCCTGCCTTTAAATATGACCTTGACATTATGATCTGGGGCTAAGTGTCAGTAGCCGATCCAGGCCGATCAGATAGTTCGATCTGAATATATACCTTTTCGGTCGCGATTTCAGAACGCTAACCTCCAAGTCCAGAACTGTAACCTCTAAGCCACCGCAGCCCTAGCCTCCATTAGACGTTTTACTATGACGTGTGGGAGAACGTGTTTGACCTTTCCCACGTTCCCAATATCTCACATCGCAGGATGTCCAATGTTACATCCATGTAAACTCGTGCTGCTTCGTAATTAGGTATCACATCTATAATGATATTGACAGGCGATTTAGGAACCAATATTTCCTATTTATTAAGACCTGCAAAAGTCAGCAGACGCTCTTATCTTTATACTTTAAACATTTACCGATATTTTTCGTGGCTGTTGAGCTACTGTCTTCTGAAGAGTTCTTTTGGCGATATGTACATATTATTTCAGAATAAAAGTCTGTTTTGGCGACTTGTAAATCCACGTTGAATAGCCCTCAATCCTATAGTCATCTTGAATTATGCGCTAGATATGCCTATTACCAATATCGGTAAGTGTCTGAAACTGTACGCATGTGTATTCTGGAAAGATTTCCAAGCAGGAAAAATTGTACATTTTAATGACGTTCTCCCACACGTCATAAAAAACGGCTAATGGAGATTCGGGCCGCGGTGGCACAGATGTTACAGTTCTGGACTTGGAAGTTAGCGTTCTGGAATCGCGACCGAAAAGATATATATTCATATCGAACTATCTGATCGGCCAGGATTGGCTACTGACACTTAACTCAAGTTCCTAATGTCAGGGTCAGATTTAGAGGCAGATGACCCCAGGTTATCGTCCAATAAAAAGGTATTCACAAGTGGAACCTACTTTGATTGTGGATCCGACTGGGGCACCGTTTCGTCTATCCAAGCACTAAATAACCAGACTTGTTTTGCTGTAGCTTAAAACACCAAACCAACACAGTAATATTAAAAAAGACTACATCTGATTGGCCGAATAAAGCCACAATCTAAAACCGCAAAGAACATGATACCTTGAGCTAACAGAAGGATTGAAAACCAAAATCTACACCAACCAATCAAAATCTGGCATTCGAATGACGTAAATAGAACCAGCTATGGTCAAACGCACCACATAACTATTAATAAGTAAACACTATTTTTCAAATTACAAAGACAATTTACGATAGAACTGAATCATCCAATATTATTCAGTAAATAATATAACATAAAGAAGAAAACTGAGAACCACACAGAGAGGAGAGGGATGAAAACAACAAGATAGCTGAATCACACCTGAAAATTCTTAAGAAATTCAAATAAAGGGAATCTATAAGCCGGTATTGAAACCCTAATAACCCATCCCCGCATACAAACACCAAAATACTCGCAAACATCATGCCTAGTCCATATCATAAGACAGGCGCTAGGACTCATACTTGCACAAGCCTGGGTGGATCCTGAAACCTATAAGCACTGTGTAGGCTAAGATTTCCCACCATGATAAGGACATATAGGTCAAGACCGATAAACAAGGGTAACTCAGGAACCTCCCCCCTGATATCCCTAACTCCCAGGAGCGGAGTAGACCGAGTGACCGAAATAGCGTATAATCTACTCCACGGGTAAAAAAAAAAGAAAGAAAAAAAAAGGAAAAATGAAAAAAAAGAATAAAAAAGAAAAAAAGGAAAAAAGAAGAAAAAAAAAGAAAAACAAAAACAAAAAGAAAAAAAATAATAAATAAATATATATAATAATCCCCATAGTCGTTCTAATGATAGGGGATTAAATGAAAAGATTACATTTCATCAAAGCCAATTAATATACTGGAAGCTCTACCAGTATATGTCCGAAGCGGAGAATTGGAGCCGACCAATTCTCAAACATGTAAGGCAGGGGAATACAGTCAGCTCCTATTGGATACAACGAAGGAGGGAAGTAACCACAACTAGAGCAAGATGGCGAATTCAACAGACAAGCAGAGGGATTATGCGGGTCCAGCCCAAATCCGACAACCCCAGGAAGCAATACCAGCACTACCCTGAGGGTAGAATGAAAAGATTACAAATTTGTATTGCCTATAAAGAAAAGCACAAAATTTCCTTCCAATCCAAAAGGGATAGTTAGTAAGCTCCAGCTAACATCCCAAAAGCCCAACCCAGCACACACACAAACAGACTACACTTCAAAACAAATCAAGAGACCATGCAGTACTAACCACCTCCCCACTGCTGTCTCAAAACCCCAACCCTGGTACGGACAAACGATCAGCGATGAACAGTCCGGGCCTCGCGGCCAACTGTTCGAAACGAAAAACTTACAACTTATGTCTTCACTTTGGCTCTGAGGACCTACGGCCCAAACAAGATCTTTTGGCAAGGCGGTCAAAATAACACAACCATACAAACCAAAGCGGTGATAAATCTAATAAATAGGCGGCAAACGCCTAAAGATTGGTAATTTTTTACAAACATTATAAGTACGCCAAGTACGCAAAATTCCAATTACAAATATTTATTCCAAATTCACAACTCAGGCTCATTAGGACAATTGCACAGGTGGCTTACACAACATTGACATAGGGATACCAATAGGAAAAACTGATATATATTTGACAAAAAATCCACCCAATTGAAATAAAATTGGGTGATAATAACTTGGGGACTTTGGTGGTGCGGGAGTGGCGGACTGGGTTGGAGAGTGAGTGGATTGCGGTTCTGCCATTTCTGGAGCTTAAGATTGAAAATCACAATAAATACGATACGGGTCTTTTTTTTGAGGTCCCTGATCTCTAGGGGTCAGGAAAAGGCCTAGCACGAAAGGCCAAGCGCCCTCTAGGGGGGACCACAGACCACGCCCGGGACTGTGGCATACTCCCCAGAGGGACTGCAGTCCATGCCCGGGACTGTAAGCAGTCGTATAAGCCTCACGGCAGCAAGCGACTTAAACGAGAAATGAAATGAAATGTAATATTAAATCAACTCGAAGGAATCCGATAGAGCTGTTTGAATGGTTGAATGTTAAGAAAGAAATTTTCAATGCAACATGATTTTCGATTGATCAGAAGAATGTGGGTGCGTAAGAACGGAAATGAAATTATGTACTAACAAATTATGCCCGCTGGACACGCGCAACACCATCCCTTATTTAGCACAGGTATTTGTGTCCCAAAGGTTTAACTACATTCTTAATACGTCATTCAGCTGTGCACTGTAATGAATCGCCATTTTATTCATGCGGTCATCTAGATGTAAGTAAAAGTTAAATTTAACTGACATTATTGAAAGCGTTTAAATGACACTGACACCATTTTAATGATAAAGGATTAAACTTTTCATTGGTTTTGTGTTTTCAGAGTTTACGGCCATTTTGAGCACATGATAAACAGTACATATGGCGGAGATAAATCTAGAAAAAGATAATTGCAAACTTTTTTCCCATACCCACGAAGAGCGAGTCGAGATTCGAACCCACTCGTACAGAATGGAAATGTCAGTGAATTGCAAATGTGAGTGCCTTAGACCATTCGGCCACCCTAATCTGGAAAATCCGAAAGAAGCTTCCAAAAGAAGAAAATAAAAGGCATCTGATTGAAAATATTGCTCATTGTTTGTTTCATATCCTTAAATCCCCATATAATTATGATATGACCGCTCCGGTGGCCAAGTGGTTAGAGCGTCTGCCTTTGTTGCTTGAGCTCGTGGGTTCGATCCCCGGCCGTGTTATACCAAAGATTTATAAAAATGGTACTAGCAGCTGCCTCGCTTGGCGCTCAGCATTAAAAGGTCAGAATTGGTCGGCTTGGTGTCAGGATAATGTAACTAGGGGGAGACGATGCTACATGTCTGCGGCAAGATGCCCCGGTGCTAAACATCACTATAAACTCACAGTGCAGACATTGTAGTGATATGGCTGAAAATCTGTTGAAGTTACGTTTAAGATCCAATACACACGTAGACACACACACACACACACACACACACACACACACACATACACACACACACATACTCATTCATTGTGATATATGCCAACAATATAAATCATTAGAAATCAAAATCCCTCATTATGATAATATCGAGTCAATGCATGTTCAGCTATAATTCAACGCATACTAAATGTAGCGCAGTCAGCTTCAGAAAACTTTGTACACTTAAGTTAAGATGTAAAGAGACCTACCGATATATTTTCGGAGAGGGGGTGGTCTTTCCAACAATTATCGTTACAAAATTCTAAAGATAATTATTTTAAAATGAAATAATAGACTGTATACAAATGGAAGTATATGTATTTCTTTTCAAGCTCTTTAAAGATCAGAATTTGATCCCCCACCCCCACTCACCCTGCCCACACTGAAATGTTCAATCCCAAAGATATCTTCTAATTTTATAAACGTACTACTGCGTATTATTATTATTATTATTATTATTATTATTATTATTATTATTATTATTATTATTATTATTATTATTATTATTATTATTATTATTAAGCGAACTGTGTCTACCATGAACCGTTGATGGGTGAAAGACAAGCTGTAGGATAACAAACTACTGATTACTTTTACGAGATTTTTGTAAAATTTAACAAATAATTTAATTCCCTGGAATGCAAAGTAAATATTAAAAAAGACGCACCGTATTGTTAATTAAATGCAAAAGACTCCTCAAAGTTCTATCACAAATGCAAGTATATGAAGTTCAACTGAATTCCAGTATTTGTTACGGTGGCCATGGCTTTGTTATCATTCCCTAGGAAATGATCATTCTTGGTGTTATTTCCCGGATCGAGTAAATAACAAACTAAAATATGAAATTGATGGATGGCATAAAAGGAATATGAGCAGAAATATAAAATAAAACAACAGCAAAAAACTTATATAATATATAATAATTTATTCAATTACATAGACAAAATGAAAGAGAACGTGACATTTAAAGGATAAACTTTTTGTTAGAAATAAAATTACAAAATTACAAAATAAATTTACAAAAGTTTATAAGTATTGCAGCTAGTCGTTCTGTTTTACCGATAAAACAAATTTCATCATATAATCGAATTAATGACTGAACTCATTTGCTCAACATGACTGCATAACCTAATTTATTCCAGTCTTTCCGATGTTAATGCTGTGACAGGTCAGCATTGCCGTATTCTTTTCTTTTTTTTTCTTTCTCTTTCTCTTCAGCCTCTTTGAGTCATCAATCATAACTTGGAAGTCTGTTCTCCTTTCCCACAACGTGGTGTAGATATAGAGTTAATTTCCCCTTGTACTTTCCGAGACTAGCTTTCCTTTCCTTTAAATCCCGTGTCCCTCAACTTCCAGACAGACACTAGTCCCTTGAACAATTTAACAATAAATACTTTTCCTGGAGGCAGCTTCTTGCCTCCTTGTAGAAACTTAGACTGACAAATTTAGTCTTGAAAACACCTCTCTTCTTTAACTGAGACATAGATAATCAGGACTTACTTTATCAAAACTTAACGATTTAACGCGGTCATCAATATTAGAATTATTCTCTCTATTCCAGTTTTATTAAAAACTGTTTATGAAAAAAACTCATTTTATGAATTTATTTCAAATGGCCCAATATTGTCTCTCGATTGTCTCTATGTTGTCGTTTCATCAATACATTACCCCGATTAACATCGCTTCTCTATCTTCCGACCGTTATCACAGTGGATTCTAGTTAAAAATCAATCATGCCCACGACTAAAAATATCACAATCGTAGCGGGATATATTATTGAGAATGGTCTAGCCTATAATTTAATCTTAATTGGTACGTGTCACGCTGATCAAGACAAGATTCGCTCAGTGGTGTTGCTATCTTTAAAAATTCACTTTGTTCCAGTGATATTCTTATTAAATTTCAATACTGAATGTCTTGATCTGCCTGTAGTTTTTAATATGTCAGTGGCCTGGATTGTGATGATGTGTGTTCTGTGTAAACTTTGTGTACGGTTGACAAATAACATCATATCCTCGACATTACGTCCATTTCGGAACAGATTCGGCATGAAGCAGGGAGACCAACTGTGTTCTTCATTCTTTCTTTTCTCTATCTCTGTTTCCATTTCTCTATCTGTCCCTTATATATATATATACATACATACATACATACATACATACATACATACATACATACATACATACATACATACATACATACATACATACATACATACATACATACATACATACATACATACATACATACATACATACATACATACACGCTATTAGATGTTCTAATCGTGTGCATTCAATTTAATTTCGGAAGTAAATGTCATATCTGCCCTTGGCAATTTAACTCAAAGTATTTGTCATGACATGTTGTTTTTATGAAGTATATTCCTCCGCTTATCATACAATATTTAGGACCCGCTGAAATTAACTTTGAGATGCTACGCTGCAATTATCAGGGTCTTCATCCGTCATACTGAAGTTGTATAGGAATGAACAAACTTTGTATCTTTATTGACTTCAAATGTACGCGACGTCTGTGATCATATAATTATTGGGGGAATAGTTATATTTTGGATAACTACGGTAGGAAAAAATTAACGCCTACTTCCTATTAGGTGGGATTGTTTGAGCTGGCGCGTGCTCCATGATCGATATATATATATATATAAATTTCTATTTAGTATGACATCCTCGGGTGAAACTTGTTCAACCTGGCCATATTCCTGATGAAAAACGAGGGAAAAATTAGTGTCTCACCCACCTGCAATTGTTTATAGGGTGGGTGGGTTTAGCTGTTGACAAAGCCAAACCATTTTTGAAAGCTGGGGAAACATTTTGCGTTGGAATCGATGCTGTTTTATTAGAATGTATCTATATTTCTTGCTTCAGAAGAAAACGTATACGTAGAATCTGCCATTAGAACCAAGAGTTAGTGGTTCCTGAAATTTACAGAAAATTGTGTTTCACGTGAAATGCGAATCGGATATATATGTCTTTTTCTTGCTGTCTTGGCATGTGTTTTTGTCGTGGAAGTCGGAGGATCTGCGTTTTTGCTAGATCCTCCTGGAAGATCGGCATTATGGAATTTTCAAATCAGAGCGCCCGTCAACTATAACTATATGTCACTAAATTGTGGAGGTAAATTGGTAAGTAAGACCTGCACCTTTCCTTCTAATTATATGAAAAAGAAAATTAATATTTATATATTCGCATTTATATAATAAAAGCAATCCCTGTACCTATAAACATTTGACCATAGAGACCAAGTCATGTACACTAAATAAGTGACAAGACCTAAATGCATAATGCTTGTCGTTTCCGGCTTCAGTATTTTCTCTAGAGCCTTTGCCAGCGATAAAAGAAGCAATATATCTAAACATTTTAACTCCAATAATCATTTTCATTTTTAAAAGGCTTTATAATCTAAGCTGTCACATGGAAAAGGACTTGAAATTTAAAAAAATATATATATTTTATTTCTGACACTCACCTTGCTACAATCAAAGTAACTCAAAACCAAGATTTGCTGAAACTATATAAATGAAAGGTATTTAGAGTTTGGGCCCCAAGATGCTAGCTCTGTTGAGACTGTCACTAACGCTATCCAGAATGGTGGGCAGTTGTCGGTCGCGGCGCATATTTATCTTTTTTTTCTGTGGATAATACGTTTTGTTCTAAATCAGTCAAACAATCTTACACGTAAACCTCATTAATAAAATCTTAAACAATAACTGTGATGTGTACATACAAATATAACTCACATTTCAACCAAGTCTAACACAGTCACATGTAGTCAATAAATATACATACAAAAACAAATACATATATTAGAAGATGTGCTTAATTTTTTGCGAGATAGGAAGAAGGTGAGGGTATCCAAATGAGGTATTCTATTTGGCATGATCAGAAAGAAGTGCGCTATTAATACAATAATGTACACATTTGTTTCGTGCCATTGAGAATAATATTCCAGAACACTGCTGCAGAATGCGTGGACGATACTTTGTATAGTCATTTCGAATTTAGGTGGAAACAACTGGCTTTATTTACTTGCACTCATTTCTTGGTGATTTTACAAAATTTTATTGAATCGAGTTAAATGTATAATGTACTCTGTGCTATTAGGGCAAGTGAGGTTATGATATAATTGGAGTTATTTCAATTTCGACAAGAATTGACACAAAATATACACATTGTATACCAAAGCTCGTCCGAGTTCTCTTTTTCTTGCTCAATTATTCTTTTAATAATATTCCATTCACGTTCAAAACGTCATCCTAATTCATCTCTACCGAGGTCCGAATTAAGTAGACTGTCTGGGTAAATAGCAGGATACGCGTGCGAGTGTGTCCTTATTTTCACCTGCGGCTACCTTTGCCGAGACTTCCTCGTTCAACACAATCTGTCAGGTTTGCAACATTTGTCCCTGCTGTAACAGGATATAACAGGGATCCGATTATAGTGGAGACACTGAAAGCAATTTGTTAATAGAATGTTTATGTATAGTGTGATTTTTTTAAATATAAAAATGTATTAAATCTGACACCAGACTCGTTCGCATACATTCCAATAATGGAATGATGCCCACTGAGCTAAACCGCTGACACAAAGAATAATTTCTTAAACGAATCTTGACTAAATAAAATTAGCAATCAGCAAGAATGAATTAAAAGAAATTAAACAAATATGAAACATATTATCAACGATTAGAAATTGAGCACAAAGAGAATGACCTAAAATAAACAATGATTAATCA